AAAAAAAAAAATAATAATAATAAATAAATAAAATTTTAAAAAAAGGTTAAAATTAACACTTGCCTAGCATGTGCAAGACCCTGAGTTCCATAACCAGCATCTCAAAAAAAAAGTTAAAATAATAAATTCTGTTACGTGTATTTTACTTTAATTTTTTTAAGTCTGGGCTCAAAAAGGTACTTTAATCACTGAAACTGCCTACTTATAATTTCTTATACAATTTGATCATTAAATGCTTGGTTTCCTATAACCCACTTTTAGTTGAGTATTTATTTCATGATCTCCAAAAAAAAACCATTCAAACTGCTACAGAAAAGTTGAGCAGGGGTTAGCAGATTTCCCCAGTGAGGGCCTTTCTAAAAAATAAATCGCTAAAAATAAAATTTCCCTGTGCTGACTCCCTAGAGAGGATTGGCCCCTAGTATGCATGGGCATGCATGCATGTGTGTGTGCGTGTTTGTGTGTGTGTGTGCGTGCATGCACACACGCATGTACACAAACACACCTCACACCCAGCCCAAACTTCCCATTACCAAATGTAGGTCCCAAAGAAAAAAATGCATTCTTGGATCCCCAGGTTCTCAGGTAAAACCGTAGTCAAGAGCATCAGGGATAGTTTTAGGATGTGCAGTGGTAGCAAGAAAGCAGGGTGCTCTCCCAGCCTCAAGCACAGCTCCTCCTCAAAGTCTGCCTCACCTCCTCATCCTCAGTCCAGGTGTGACAAGAAAGCCCTAAAGCAGAGTGTGGAGACCATAATCCGTTGCTCAGGAGAAATATAGACCAGGCACTGGTAGCTCCCACCAGAAGTGGAGCTATGACTCAAGTGAGAGAGTAGTAGAAGAGGAAAAAAAGGAAGAGGAGGAGGAAATGTGCGGGAGGAGGAAGAGGAGGAGGAGGAGGAAGAAGAGGTTGAAGAAGGAAAAGGAGAAGGAGGAGGAGATAATAATGCAGGATTTGAGTCTTTCTTTCTATAATATTCATTGAAGGGATTGGGATTCAATAGCACCTAGGGCTCATAGGGCTGGTCACCAAAGAGCTCAGGGTCTGAGCAGCCTGCTAAGTGCATAAGAAAGCAAGAAGGCCAGAATTCCCATGGCTTCCAGGCCATCCAGATCTGAGCACTAGGCCAAGCAGGAGGCAGAGAGGCAGGAGCAAACACCTGGACTAGAGGATTTAAGTGTAAGGAACTTCCACTTATTGCTCATGAAAGTGATTTTCCTATTGCCTCCAGCAAACAAGACTAAGTGTGTGTCATAGTCCCTTGTTCTGTGCACATTCTATGCCCAGGCACTGTGCTACACTCAGGACTGAGAGTGACTGCACTGCATCTCTGATTTGGCAAATGGGAAATGTACTAGGACCTGTATTTACCAAACCTGGAGTTGCCAGAGGGATGAGGTGCTCTGCATGAGCCGGGTGGACCAGCCAAATGGCTCTCTGCAAAGAGGAGCCCAAATTCAGTTTCACCTTTTGTTGCAGATTTCTGCTCTTTATTCCTATGGTGGGGCCCTTGAGGAAACACTGTTTTCCAGTGGAACTCTCCCCGGAGGTGGGAGGGAGGGCAACAAAGGGGAGATTGAACTGAAGCTCTGTGGGTTCCATTGATATTTATCTCTCCTTCTTCCTCTCGCTGCCAGTCTTTGCAGCAGGGGCTTCCTTTGCTTAGCAAATCAAAACAGCCTCTAATCTTTGAGAGAGGACATTGAGACATACCCCAGTGACTGGGGATAGAGTTCAGTGGGAGAGGGCTTGCCTAGCATGCTCAGGTCCTAAGTTCAGTCCCCAGGTTAAAAAGATAAAGAAGGAGTATTCCCAATTTATGGGTCACATTGAAACCCACTGGACATACACCTACATGGAGAGAGAGAGAGCTATGCTACCCCACAATTTAGAGTCTATGGGACCTAAAGATCACCAAGACAATACTTTCCAATTATGCATGAGGAGCCGGGCATGAGCTGATGGCTCATGCCTGTAATCCTAACTAGTCAGGAGGCTGAGCTCTGAGGATCACAGTTCAAAGCCAGCCTAAGCAGGAAATTCTGCGAGACTTTTATCTCCAATAAATTATCAAAAGACTGGAAATGGTGCTATGGTTCAAAGTGAGAGAGTGCTAGCTTTGAGGAAAAAGAGGTCAGGACAGTGCCCAGGTCCTGAGTTCAAGCCCCAGAGCTGGCACACGCGCGCGCACACACACACACACACACCACATGAGGAAACTGAGTCCTGAGCAAAAGCAACCTAACCAAAATCTTATGGTTGGCTGGACAGGTAGAGACTCATTCAGGCCCCCCACCCACCGTTTTTTTATGCCCATCCTGGGGCTCCGGGGTACTATTCCTGAGTTCTTATGCACAAAACTAGCACTCTACAAGTTGAGCCACACCTCCACTTCCAGCTTTTTAATTGAAGATAAGAGTCTCACAGATTTCCTACCTGGGCTGGCTTTGAACTATAATCCTCAAATCTCAGCTTCCTGAGTAACTAGGATTACAGGCGTGAGCCTACAGAGCCTGACTTCAGCTCATTTTTTTTTTTTTTTTTTGAATCCGGTCATGGGGCCTGAACTCTGGGCCTGGGCACTGTCCCTCAGCTCTTCAGCTCAAGGCTAGCACTCTACCACTTGAGCCACAGCGCCACTTCCGGCTTTTTTTTTCTGCTTATGTGGTGCTGAGGAATCGAACCCAGGGCCTCGTGCATGCAAGGCAAGCGCTCTACCACTGAGCCACCTTCCCAGCCCTCAGCTCATTTCTTAAATCAGATCCTTTGCACTTGTGACATGTGACATGTCAGTCACCTGACAGAAGGGAAATCCTGTTACCTCCTCAGGACATTGCATTTATACAAGTAGGACCTGTCCACTTTTTCTGGACCTGGGCTTGAGTGCCTGGTTCTGGGGATGTTGGGGTTCCATGGTCCTGACAGGTAAAGACCAGGAGAGGCTGAGGTTCACAGGTATGGAAGCATGGTTACACTAGTTATTCTGCTCTGAGCTAGCAGACAGGACAGCTGAACACAAAGTTCAAAGTCTGGCAAAACTGACAGGGTTCAATCCTAGAAGCAGAGCCACCAAACAGAGATCTGGGATTTGACCTTATACACTGTGAAACAGGTAGAATTGTTTGTGTCCTGTTAGCTTTGATTCTGGAATGGGGCCTAAGCTAGCACTGTCATCTGATTCAAGTCACCAGGTCCAGGGGTCAGAAAATCTTGGTCTCATTTGAGAAAGAATTCAAGGACAGTTTGTTTATTGTATGTGTTTGCTGGAACTGGGGCTTGAACTCAGGACCTTGGTGCTATCTCTAGGTTTGTTTCACTTAAGACTGGTACTCCACCACTTAGGCCACACCCCTACTTCCAGTTTTTGCATAAGGGTCTCACAGATTTTCCTGCCTGGGTTGGTTTTGAACCATGATCCTCAGATCTTAGCCTCCTGAGTAGCTAGGATTACAGGGAGCAAGTTTATGAACGCAAAGCAAAGTGAAAGCAACGCAACCAACAGCGCACGCTCCAGATAGAAGGCTGGCTAGACTGAAGGTACTACACTGGAGGCCTCAAGACCTCAAGCTCTGGGGAACCTCACCATGGGGGTAGCAAGCTCCAGAAAACTGGACTCCTGTCCCTAACATCTGGAGATTGAGTTATGGATCACCAACTCCTCTCACATGTCAGGCGGGGAAGTGCTTGGTCTTCGATGATGAGACCACAGGCTGGGCGTGCTG